GTTGGACTTCGGTGATATGAGACTGTGGTACTTACCTGATTGGAGACTTTGAGATTGTTGAGGTTGATACTCGGCTGCATCACAGTTGGACACCGGTTACATCTGGACTCTGTATCTCCGACATTGGTGACCTATGGGCCTCGACATTTTGATCTTGTTGTATGACATTTTGGACTACCATATCGGAGACCTATCAGACKCTATCTATCGGTGTTRTCTACCTCCCCACCTCCTTCGTCTCTCCTCCCACCTTTCATCTGTGAATGCGTGTACGGGATCTGGGCATCGTCTATGAATGGCCCAGACCCCACCATCTCACGATTGTATGTGTGTGGAGTGATGCTATGTGAGTCAGTCTATGTGAGTCAGTCCGTTTATCAGACTTCCGCTGCATATATGCTCATCCTACATTGGTTGATCTTTGGTTCTGCCCATACTCATTGAAGTATGCAACAGTGTTTGTGAAGAAGAGAAGAAAATCAGCCTTCTCTGAGCACTGGCAAGCTGAGAAGGGAGGAAAAGGGGGAGGAAAGGGGAGGCATGGAGAAGAGAAGGACGGAGGAGAGGAGGAAAGGAGGAGAGAGAAGAAGACAACAGGCGCGATAGAGAAGAGACAGGAAGAAGAGAGAGAAGGGCGGGAGAGGTGAAAAACATGTTGTTGATCAACCGCCGGGAAACCCCGCCCTTTGTGAGGGCGTGTACTCGCATGAGGACTGTTCATGCGGTCAGACACATCCAGCACCGGTCGTATTTGCAATCAGATACTTCCAGGAAGATTCTAGCCTTTTTTTTTTTTTTTTTTTTTTTTTCCAATGGCGACGGGCTTGAGATATCATCATTACTAACGGTCCCAAAAAAAAAAAAAAAAAAATCATTACTAACGGTGCCTAGCTCAGTTGGTACACCATTGAATGTTGAAATGCAAACCCATGTTTTCGAATCCGGATGCAATCAGATGGACAGAGTAGAATAATTCTGAATTACCTGGGCCGTGAAAAAGAAAAAAGGTCGGGGGGGGGGGGGGGGGGGGGGGGGGAAAAGGGGGGGGGGGGGGGGGGGGGGGGGGGGGGGGCGGAGAAGGAGGATAGAGATGAGCAGAAAGAGGAAAAAGAAAGGAGGAGCGGGGGGGGGGGGGGGGGGGGGGGGAGGAGGTAAGAAGAATCCCTGGTCTGCTCTCTATGTGGAAAGACAGCGAATAGCCGTGGAATTGTTGGATAATCCAGGGTAGATATTCTTCTGGTGAGACTACCAGAACATAAGGCATATGTGTTGTAAACGAATACAACGCGTACATGTGTTGTAAACGAATACAACACGTACATATGTGTTGTAAACGAATACAGCACGTACCATTTATTCAAGTTGAGGGGAGCAACTTTACCAACACGGGTGCAGGCTGAGTAGGTTCAGTGCCAGACCATGGCGGAGCAGAAAAAAAAATGTGGCTTTATACCTTTCCGTCTTCTGGCCGAAGATTCACTCCTTCTCCGTACTTGGGGCCTCTCTCCACTCAGCAAATGTGCAAAATGAGAATGAATTTTCAGCTCCAACATGTACGTTGTATTAATCCGCATACGTGTTTTATTCGAGTTGAGGAGAGCAACTTTACTGACATAAGGGGGTTGGGTGCAGGCTGAGTAGGCTCAGTTCTCGACCGTGGCGGAGGGCCTTGGAGCACTAAAAGAAAAGGGGGGGAAATGTGGCGTTGTATCTTTCCATGTTCTGGCCGAAGATTCACTCCTCCCTACTTGGGACCTCTCTCCACTCCTCAGCCAATGTGCAAAATGAGAATGAATCTTGTGCTTGGACATGGAGAGATACAACTCTGTGCTTTCTGTCTTTTTCACTCTTGGTGAGTAGTAGAGTGAGGCCCTGGCGAGTGGTGGAGTGAGGCGCGTCGTATCCCTCCTGGCATCAAGCTTCCACTTTCTGGCCCGCACTACGACTTTCTTGGCTGTCAGACAGGGTGGTGCGCAAAGGGCAGGTTTGCACAGACACACGCACACACACACGAGAGAGAGAGAGAGAGAGAGAGAGAGAGAGAGAGAGAGAGAGAGAGAGAGAGAGAGAGAGAGAGGGAGGGNCCGTTCGTTCCCTGGCAATGTAACAGGTGAGGGTAGAGGTTAGTCACATGCCATGGAGGGGAAGAGGTGAAGAAAGGGT